TGCTGAGCCACAGATTAGGCCGACCTATCCTTAGTTCGGTTTTGCTCGCTACACCATATCTCGATTCTCCTCTGCTCAACCCATGGTGTGTTTGGACCGAAACAACGACTCTCGACCGGTATAACTCCAAGACCGGTACACCTCTAAAGCCGATGTAGACTTCAAGACCGGTCTAATTCCAAGCTGTTCCAGGACCGAAGTACATTTACAACCTTTCAACCGAAGTAACTCTATCTTTTATTGAGCTGAAGTAACTTTTACCTCTCCTGGCCGGAGTAATTATACCTTCCTGAGCCGGAGTAACTACACTTCTCCTGGGCCGGAGTAGCGTTGCGGCCTTCCCACCCAGTCCTTCGCACTTTGGGCCACAAAGCCCATCACATAGCTCGGCCCAATTTTTACCAAAAATTACCCTCTCAATTGCCCCTTAATTCCATCTGCATAGCATGATTGGGATTACTAAGTGTCCAGCCGAGCTAGATGTTTTCAAGTCTTTCTAGCCGAACTAAAACATCGTTTAAGCCTATCCAGCCGAGCTAACCCTACTCCGGGCTCTGTTTTGTCCGGTCAAAACGTCTCTTCAATCACGACTGTAACGCTTCCCATTCCGTATACACGTGGCATGTTCCCATTCGCCGAAGGCAGCTGTCAACGCCATCTTCGTATTTCACAATTTTTTGAACAGTTCCCGCCTTTTTCTCTCTGCCTTTTACACAAAACAGCCCTTTCAATTCTGGAATCATTTACTCTACTGTTTTCATCTTCTTTCTGTGCCTCTACTTCTTCCATACTCAAGCTTGTGTTCTTTACTTGCTGCCACCGTTTCCGACTCCAGTCTTCTGCTTCATCTTTTCTTGGTAAGCGATCCTTTTTCCTTTCCTTTGTTTTGCTTTCATATTCTGTTTTCCACGCTCTGCTTGCTTTTGCAAAAAAATTTTCTTCCAGCTCTATTTTACTTTAGTACTTTCATGGAAAAAATCAGTAAAGCCCATGACTATATGTCATATACCCTAGAGAAAACTCGATTTTGATCCAGAATCACGTCCCAACCGAACTAGGATACTGTTTGTGTTATGTAAGTAGATAGATTCAGAAAATAACCGAACTAGAACTTGTAGGAATATCAGTAGTTTCTTCTGAACCACTCTAGCCAAGATAAGATCACCGAACAAACGTGCACATACCGAACTAGGTACTTCGGTCTATAACCGAGCTAGGCTTTTGGGGCCAAGCCAGCTTTCTTAGTTCTTAAACCGAACTCAGAAAGCCGCCCCTAGGGGCTCAACTGAAGTAACTTTCCTCACACTGCAACCGATTTAGGCCTTGGGACTAAACCAGCTTTCTTAGTTTTTTAGACCGAACTCAGAAAGCTGCCCCTAGACGTTAAACCGGTCTATCGAGCAACCTGCTCAAACCGAGCTACCAGACCTTCTGATGAAAGAACTAGTTCTTTGAGGCTGAAGTAGGGCTTTTATACCTTGCTTGTAAATTGTAGCACGGTCCATTGATCAGTGCTTTAACCCCCTCTGTTTTTTACTTTGCAGACTTAGGTTACCCAGGCACTCCTGCGTGCGCTCAACCGAGCTTCTGAGCACGATTATCGCACCGAAATAACTTATTCGTTAAATTATACAACAAATGGGTAAGTATAGTTTCTCCATAGATTTTAGAATTAGAACTCATCACATGCATAGCTTTTGATTTTGTTCTTGACTTCAAGTCTTTGAGCTTGTAAATGGAATTTTGGTTTTGCTTTGAAATCATGATTTTCATTGAAGTAAGAATTGTTTAATTCAACATGGTTTTGAAAGGTTTTGATGCTTTTAATTTGGAAAACAACCTTATTCCCATGTTTATTAATGAATTTATAAGGTTTATGTTGAGTTTCACAAAACCCTAGCATAAGAACTTGCAAAGAAACCATTTTAGAACATACTGAAATTTCGAACCTGCTGCTGGAAGCCCAGAACCTCATGTGCGGCTTGGATTTCCGCATGTGTGGATTGCTCTGTTTCAGCTAACTTTAAATAGGTATATCTCCTTCATTCGGACTCCGTTTTAAGTGATTCTTGAGCCTATATTCAAGCCCCAGAAGTTTAGTTTCCAATAGTGGTAGACTCACATCTAAATTCTAAGTACACAAATAGATATGTTCAAATTAGTGAAGGTTGTTCATTTTCTTTCTAACCGTTTCATGCTATTTCATCTCCTAACCCAGTTTCCTTTCGTTTCTTCCTATTTTTCTAGTCACGAATTATGGCCCATTGAAGACTAATGAGTTTAGAACCAACATAAATAATTGGTTAAGGCAAAGTAAGGGATTGGTTTATTTAATTAAGAGAAGTAAATTTGATCAAAAGAGTAATTCTATGTTTCGATCTGTTGTGTTATGTAATTGTGTTTGCAGGTCAAGATGAGGATATTGCCCAACTGCTATCAGAAGCCCATCACTATGAGTAATAGTATAGTAAAGATATGTTTTTCATTATCTATTTTGATTTATGTACAACATAAACCTCTAAATATCATATTTTGTTAAAATGCACAAGTTTCCAAGAAATGTGAAATGAGTTATGAACAAGAAATGTGAAATGAATTATGAACAAGAAATGTGAATTATTTGTAATATGATATGGTGGGCCCAAGGCCGTTCCGTTTATGCTATGACATGATATGAACTATTCGGTTTTTAAGACCTATTGATTTCTGGTATGGAACAAAGTGCTGTACGGAACTAAGTACTATAGCGAGAGTCACTTCTAGAGTCCGTACGAGTCACCTCTTGGGTCCATACATACATGAATTGGGCCCAGAGAGAGGTTCGGTTGTGGCTGAAAAAGACCACCAACTGGCCTTTAACCTGGCCAAAAGTGTGTGCCTCCCCAAGGACATGGAGCACCACTTGAAGCAACTGAACACCGAAATGAAATCAATTCGGTCTGCTTCCAAGTCCATGATCTTGGTAAGTAGCTCTGTCTGATTTTTCTGTCCGTATTTTCCAACTTTTACTTCGGCTGAAAAGAAATTTTTGTTTTGCCAGGCCTTACAAAAGAACAATATTACATACAAGAAAGTTCAAGAACTAAGAAAAACTACAAGGCAAGCAATGGCAGAAGCCGAGGCGAAGGCGGCCGAACTAGCGGAGGCCGAAAGAAAGCTGTCCGAGCTTCAAGCAGAGAACGGTCGACTTGCCGATGTGGTTAGTTCGGCTGAAGCAGAGAGGCAAAAAGCGGCCATTGTAATGAAAGACAAATATCTGCGTGAGCTGCTGAAGCTTGAGAAGAGAAAAGACGCCGAAATAAGCGAACTAAAAAAGAACATGGAGGCGGCCGAAAAGGAGGGGTACAAGCGAGGTTACAAGGAGGCAGAGGAGGCCTATGTCAAACAATGTGACGCCGCCAAGGAGCTTTTCTTCAAGTGCGGCTGGAGGGCGGCTGTGGAGAAGCTCGGTCATGATGAACAGACCGAGGTCTTCGACCCTCCAGCGTACTTTATACCGAAGTCCCTTGCGGCGTATGCAGACGCCTTGCAACAAGAGTTTCTGGAGGACTCAGACACTGATGACTCCTCTGCTCCTGAAGACATTCCGGTTGTTGGTGCCGACCCATCACTTCGGTTGGAACCCATGGTAGAGGACCTTCCTAACGAGCAGCCGAATGAAAACATGGTTCCAACCGAAGGAATCCTGGCAGCCGAGAGTGAGCTTCCTCTTGAAACCGGCCTTCGAGTTGGTGATGATGCGGCTTTTGACACCGAAATAGATGAACTTTTCTCTTAATTTACTTATATGCTACCTATGAAGTATGGGTACTTTGACAAACATGCTATACCCGTACCAAGTACGTACCGAGTATATACCCAAGCCGTTCCGTAACTCAGTCGAGAGAATATTTTCTTAAAATTATAGAGATAAAATTCATTTCACTAGATTTCTTTTTTATTTGTAGTTTTATACTTAGTATGATTTTAAAATTAAATAATGATTTTTAAGTTACTTAATATAACAACATTTAATTTTGGTTTATACATTTACTTTTGGCATTAAATGTTAATTGTAGGTTGGATATTAACAAATTAATAGATTTAATCAATTTTTGCATTACTTCAAATTAAAAATAAATATTTTTTTACAAACATACCAAAGCTGTACCCATATCGTACCTTTTTTTTTTTTATAAAAATTTTACCATATTGATGTACCCGTATCATACCAGTACTAGTACTAGTACTTATACTCGTACCCGTACCTGTACCTGGGCTTCATAGTATCAACTCCCAAGTGTTATTCTTGCTTAAACCTTGCTTCTCTTCTACCATAGCTATTTTTCACTTAGGATCATTGATAGCTTCGTTCCAACCCTAGGGAATATACACAGAAGACAGAGATGAAATAAAAACACGATATGTAGAGGACAATGAATCATATGACACAAATTTAGAAATGAAATGTTGAATACAAGCCCTAACCCCTTTTTTAAGAGCAATAGAAAGACTCAAATCATCAATGACAGGACTATCAACCACAGGTGGAGGAATAGACTGAGGTGCATTACCTTTAGAATCGGTTCGAACAGGATTTGGAACCGGCATGAGGGACGATGATTGGTCTGGTGGCACAAGGGGAGTCTACTCTTTCGGAGGCCGTGAATAAGTCTTAAGATCAACCCTGTCCAAATGACCACCGATGTCAGGCTCCACATCAAGAGAACTACTAGGCTCCCGCTTGCCACAAATAACAGTCTGCTGACTAAGAAGGAAAAATGATAACTCATGTTGATGTGCCATTTCCTCATTTGCAATCTCATCCATAACACTCTTCCCTTGCGGAGATAGCAGAGAAGAAGTAAAGGACTCAGATTCACTAAAGGTGACATCATACTAGCATACACTTTACGAGTGTGAGGATCATAGTATTTGTATCACTTTTGAGTAGCAGAATAGCCAATAAAGACAAAAAGCACAACCTTAGGATCAAGTTTCCCACGAGTACGAGGTTGTAGATGAACAAAATAGACACACCCAAAAACCCAAGAGGTGAGATGTGCCACAGGAAGAAGTTGAAGAGGAATCTGAAATTAGAGGACACTGGAAGGCACACGGTTGATAAGGTAAGTAGTGGTAAGAACAACATCACTCTAAAAAGACTTAGGGACATTCATGGTAAATAAGAAAGAGCGAGCAATTTCAAGGGGATGGCCATCTTGCGTTCAACAACTTCATTTTGATGAGGAGTACCAACACAACTAGTCTGATATAGGATGCCATGCTCCTCTAGGTATGCCAAAGCTCCATCAACATACTTAGTATCATTATCACTTTGAAAATTTTTGATTTGAGCATTAAAAAGATTGGTCACCATTTTATGAAAAGTTTGGAAACAAGAAAATACGTCACTCTTAGTTCGAAGTAAGTAAATCCGAGTCTCACAGGAATAACAATTAATAAATGTACCAAACCATCGATACCCAGAAGTAGAAACCACAGGGAAAGGGCCTCACACATCGGTATGAATAAGCATAAAAGGAAAAGTACTTCTTTTATTAATTGAAGGATAACAAGTACGTTTATGCTTAGCAAGCTCACAAGCATCACAAACAAAGTTATTCCTAGGACAATCACGAACTAATAAAGGAAAAAGTTTCTCTAAAATGCTAAAGGAAGGATGCCCCAAACGGCAATGCCACTGATGAAGGAGACGAAGGGAGGAGCCAGAAGTGCATTGACGAGCCTGAGAGGACAAAGGTGAGGCAGGAATGGCATCCAGAAAGTACAGACCACTTTGTGCTCTACCACTGCCAATCATTTTCCCTGTAGCCAGTTCCTGAAAGACACGATGAGTCGGAAAAAAGGGTACAGAGCAATTGAGAGCAGTAGTAAGGCTACTAATAGAAAGTAAGTTAGTTGAAAACTTAGGAACATGAAGAACCAGTGTTTTAAAAATCGCGCTTAGGCGCGCGCCTAAGCCCAAGGCGACATGAAGCGCAGCAGTGCGCCTCAAACATGGCGAGGCGAGGCGACATGGGCAAGGCGCAGGTGAGGCGATGAAGCGCGTGCTTTATAATAAAGCTCGAGGCGTGCGCTTCATGAGCTTCAAGTGTATTTCACTCCAACAGCCCCCCATCTGTTTACTGTGTGGATAACACATGGGATGACATCTCAGTTACATTTTAAAATGATAGAAACGTGGGTCAACAACAGAGCAAAAACATTTAAAAATGCCCTAGTGGAGAAGAAGAAGAAGAAGCGACGTGAAGAGTATAACACACGCCAAATACACAGGTTCTCTTCTCCTCTTCTCTCTTCTTCTCTCTCTTCTTCTCTTCTCCTCTTCTCTCTTCTCTCTCTTCTCTTCTCTCTCTTCTCCTCTTCTCTCTTCTCTGGTTCTCTTCTTCTCTCTCTCTTCTTCTCTTCTCCTCATCTTCTCTGGTTCTCTCTCTTCTGGTTATACCCTGTTTGTTTGTTTTTGTTTTTGTTTTTGTTTTTGTTTTTTTTTTCTTCTCTTCTCCGGTTCGATTCTACTCCTCCTCCTCTGGTTTGATTCTTCTCCTCTTCTCCTCTGCTCTGCCTCTGTTATACCCTTTTTTTTTTCCTTTCTTTCTTCTGGTTCTATTCTTCTCCTCTTCTCCCCTTCTTCTTTTCTCCTATTCTCTGCCTCTGTTATACCCTGTTTTTTTTTTTTTTCTTCTGGTTTTATTCTTCTTTGACTGTTCTGGTTCGGGATTCATTTTTTGTATGCTGTCTGTTTCATTTGCCTAGAGAAACAGCAAAAATTGTGTTCTGTTTTTTTATTTTATTTTTTATTTTATTTAAGAATTTTGTTATACTGACTGTTCTTTTTTTTTTTTTTTTTTTTTTTTTTTTTTTTTTCTTTTTTTTTTTTTTTTTTTTTTTTTTTTTTGGGTGTTTTTTTTTTTTTTTTTATCCTTTCATAGAGACTTCCAGTTTCATACAAAAGGTGAAGCATACATTGATATTTGTTCTTGTTATTTGTAATGTTGAACAAATTACAGACAAGATTTTTTTTTGAAAGAGAACGTCAAATTCGTAAATTTAAGCATCACTGTTGTTTAACAAAAACAAAAGCTTCCCAATTAAACCTCATTGATACAAAATTTGAACACTGAATTACAGACAAAAACAAAAACAAAAACTGGACATAACAAAAATCCAGGATTAAAGAAAGTCAACAGATAAGCCTCATTGATACAAGATTTGAACACTGAATTACAGATAAGATTTGAACTTTTGAACATTGATACAAGATCTTTAATTGGACGAATAACATAAAGATAAACTGAGAATGTTCAGCAAGTTATGGCTATCTAAGTTCTGCATTTTTTGGAAATAAATATCTTAGTTTTGGACCATTTTGAAGCTTTTCTCTGTTTCTTGAACCTTTTTTTTTCCTCTTCTTCTGCTTTGACTGTTCTGCTTCTGTTCTTCTCTTCTCTCTCTTCTCTGGTTCTTTTCTCTGTGCCTCTGTTCTACTCTCTCTTTTTTTTTTTTGCTTTACTGTGTTGGTCTTCTTTCCTTCTCATCTTCTTCTCCTCTTCTCTGCTCTGCTCTAATTTGTTCTTCTCTTGCTCTGTTTTTTTTTTCCACCTCTGTTCTGCTCTTTTTCTTTTCCCTATCAAAATAATAATAATAAAATGAACACTGAATCAGTGTTTATAATCTCAATAGGTACATACATAAAATGACAACGCCCGAGAGTGGAAAAAAAGATCCAGCATGGAAGTATGCAACAATGGTAAATCCTGTAAATCTAAGCAAGTTCAAGTGTAATTTTTGTGGAAAAGAGATGAATGGGGGTGTTTTTCGAGTTAAGCAACATCTTGTTGGAGGGTATAGGAATGTACTTAAATGTCTTAGATGCCCAACTGAGGTTAGTAATGAGGTGGCTGATTATATGGCCAAAAAAAAGCAACTGAAGGATCAATTGAACTTGATGCCTGACTTTGATGAAATGGTCAACGAAGAAGATTTTGAGGATGAGGATGATGTTGTAAAAATCTCTCCACATGGTAAACAGCCTGTTCCTATTCAAGGTTCTACTCGAAAAACTACCTCTACTTCTATTCGATTGAAACCTAAAAATCCTAGGAAGAAGATAGGGCCCATGGATTGTTTCTTCACACCTGAGCCAGAGTTAGTGGTGCAAAAAACAAAAGGCAAGGGAAAGCAAATTAAAATTGATGAAAATGATCCTTATAGAAAAGTGTTAATGGAGAGGGCCTATGTCAGAATTGCAAGATGGATATATGATACTGGAATTCCGTTTAATGTAGTCAATAATGAAAGTTTTGCACCAATGATTGAAGCCATAGGACAATTTGGTCCAGGTTTGAAACCACCAAGTTACCACATGATACGGATTCCTTATCTCAAGAAAGAAGTGAATCATGTCCATAAGTTGATGAAGGAGCACAAAGAGGATTGGGCAAAGTATGGATGTTCTATAATGTGTGATGGGTGGACGGATAGGAAGCATAGAACTTTGATTAATTTCTTGGTGAATTGTCCTAGAGGAACCATGTTTCTTGAGTCTATTGATGCATCTAGTTACTCAAAGGATGCAAACAAGAAAATTAACTTGCTTGACAAGTTTGTTGACAAAATTGGAGAAGCTAATGTGGTCCAAATTGTCACTGACAGTGCTGAAGCAAATGTATTGGCAGGTTAAATCCTCTAGCTCTATTGCAAATAGTGTGCTTTTGTTTTGGTTCTATAATCTATTTGTTTAAAGTAGTATGTTATAAACTTGCAACTTGTAATCTTATAGGGAAGTTTTTGGAGGCAAAGAGACCCCACTTGTATTGGACACCTTGTGCAGCCCATTGCATGGATTTAATGTTGGAAGACATTTTCAAATTACCCAATTTTAAGAAGACATTTGAAAGGGCAATTGGGGTACACAGTTATATTTATAATCGTCCATCTTTGTTGAATATGATGAGGAGTTTCACTCAATTGAAGGAGTTAGTGAAGCCTGCTAAAACCCGATTTGCAACAGCTTTCTTAACTTTGCAAAGACTTTATCAACAAAGGAACAACTTGAGGAAGATGTTTACTTCGGAGGAGTGGACCAAAAGCAAATGGGCGAAGGAGCCGCAGGGTAAGAAGACAGCTCAAATAATGCTAATGCCTTCATTTTGGAATCATGTTCACCTTGCCCTGCAGTTTTCATGTCCTCTTGTTCATGTACTAAGAATGGTTGATGGTGAAGAAAAGCCTCCAATGGGATATATTTACGAGGCTATGGATAGGGCTAAAGAAGCTATTGCAAATGCATTCGATGGAAAGGAAGAGAAGTATAAAGAGATCTTTGAAATCATTGATCAAAGGTGGGACATTCAATTGCATCGCCCTTTGCATGCTGCTGGGTTTTATTTAAATCCTAGTTTGTTTTACAAAGATCCAAATGCTGCAAAGGACAAAGAAATCATGACAGGCCTATATCAATGTATATCAAGGTTGATCCCAACACTAGAGATCCAAGATAAAGTTTGTGCAGAATTAGCTAAGTATGAGAAGGCTGAAGGACTTTTTCAGATTCCTATGGCAATTAGACAAAGAAGTACAAGGGTACCAGGTAATCATTTACAATGTTCTATTCTAGTAGCCAATACCTTTTGCTTCGAAATGTTTGCTAATTGCTAACTAATTATCATGATCAGCTGATTGGTGGAGTTCTTTTGGTCATGAAACTCCTAATTTGCAAAAATTTGCCATCAAAGTACTTAGTCTTACTTGTAGTTCATCTGGCTGTGTGAGAAATTGGAGTGTGTTTGAACATGTGAGTACCCGTTGTCAAATCTAGTAGTGAATTCCAAAAACAAATTCAGTTATATACAAATTTAAATGCTTTTTTATTTATTGTTGCAGCTTCACAGCAAAAAAAGAAATAGGCTGGCTCAAAAACGTCTCAATGATTTGGTGTTTGTGAAGTATAATAGAGCATTGAAGCGTCGATACATGAAACGTGCCAATAT